TTGATTTATTTAGTTGTTTTACGGTTAAGGTTAGCAAACCATTTTCCCCACACACTTTCTGAAACATCTTAAAAGTAAAAAATATATAAGGTGTGGGTCATGGATTAATATATTTCCAGATGACAATGCTAGGATTCTTTGGTCTTAGGTTGTGAGAGTGGTTTACAGAGCATGAGGCATCATTTTTATACACGGATTGGCCACCAAAGAGCCCAGACCTTAACTTCTATTGAGAATCTTCTGGATGTGCTGAAGTAGATTTTAGGGGCTTAGTAAAAAAATAACACAACTCTGCATGGAAATCAATATTAAAAAAGCTTAAAAGTAGTGCAGTGAAATGTTGTTTTTTTTTCTTTTCTTTTGACCAGGCAGATTATGTGAGCTTTTTATACCAGCCAGCAGTTTAGTGAAATCTGATGCACATGCTCAGACTGTGCAGCCTGAGATTAAAAGAGATTCAGTTTAGTGTTTAATCTAGATTTGTTCTTGTCATAAGAAGGTAAGTTTAGTCCTGATTTGTAGATCAGCGTTGGACTACGCATCCTCACACCACCCCGCAGCATTAGACATTAAATATATTGTGAACTTTGATTCTGTCTTGTGTGTTTAATATGCAAAACATTGCTCTGAGAATTTACTTTCTGCTTGGCTACAGTGATGCACTGCCACGAATGGTTTGCGCTTTAGTTTCCATGGTGAAGCATTTTGAAAGGTTGTTTTATTTGTTCTTACTTGTTTTTTCATCCTCATCTTTATGTAGCACAAAAAAAAAGGCAACCAAACCAATTTTTTCCAATAACCCCCTTTAAAAAAAACCTTTTAAACAAGCCCAAAAAAAAAAACGCGGGGGAAGTTGAAAACAACCCAAGCAAAAGAAAAGGAAAAAAAGGGCCCCAACCCTGAAAAAATCAACGAAGCCGGAATTGAACTTCCCCCCAAGGGCAACTCAAGTTCCCGCAAAAAAAAAGGGGAACGTAAAACCGAAAAGGCCGAACAAAGCAAAATTTTTTTAACCAAGAAAAAGAAGGGTGCAACTTCCCCCCCCCCTCTTTGCCCCGCCAGGAGTCCATAAACAATCACTCGGAATGACAAAATGGTTTTGGACAGTGAGATATTAGAGGCATGCACAAATGGATAAACAAAGGAGCAGCATGGAGACGCTCCCCTATTTCTAAATGCCATACTCAGTGGGTTTCTGTCAGGCCAAACACTGTGTCCACGCAGACATGCAGTAAACTTTCAAATCACTGTCACTTTATATTAACTGACAGTCCAAACAGCAGCATCAGGAAGTGTGAAAAAGCAAATATAGAGCAGGTTATATTGAAGAGAAGAAGCCAGACGGTGTGGTGTTCTGTGCAGGTCTCTTATCTGAGTAAGTCACAGGCATGTCCTTCCTGAAACAGTCAAACACAAATAGTTATCATAACCACTTAATGATAACTGTTAACTTTGTGACTCATAAAACATCTTTATCTGTGCTGTACACCCACCTATGCTTTTCTGCGGTGCTGCTGTTAAGTCCTTACTCTAGGGTGGATTTACTACATGTAGCACCCTTTCTTGTTTCGTCAACCATTCAACTATCATGTATAGAATCTGGAAAACCTTTAAAACATTTTTTAAACATTACATGAAAAACCAATACATGCTTTTAATAGATTATAATTATAAAAATATAATATTTTAATTTTTTTTAAATTCCCTTTGATTGTCATTAAAATTACACTAACTGCTACTGCAAAGTAACTTTCCTTGATTGTTATGAATAAATATTATATGTTTACTTTGTTTACTTTTACTATCTGACTCTTTGTCAGATGGATTGTTCACAAGTTAAAGTACACTAACAAAAATATAACCGATTATTATTCAACAGACTCTGGCTGCATTATGCTCACTATATTATATATTTTCAGCTGTATATATCTGATTATCCCTCCAAACAAGACCAAAAACCACCTATTAGTGACGTGTCAACATCTTTTTGTCTTATCTAATTGGAGATTAAGTATCAGAATTTCACCTCCAAACACGCACCTTCTGGTTCTTATCTATATAGGTTCCCCCAGTTCTAAAAGCTGTTCATTCTCGTGTATGTGCCGTGCCCCACCCTCCCTGACCTTTTCAATTCTTTAACTTCTTCACTTCTATTTAGTACATGGGGACCGGCCAGGCCTGGGAGCTGCTGCCACTCCCCTTCGAGGCCTTCCCCAAACTGCGGCTCAATTAATGTCCAAACCATTCACCTTTTACCTACTAAAATGCTGTCAAACCTAAAATGAGGACGTGGACCCAGCTAGTGAAATGCCTACAAATTGTTTTTATTTTACTGATTTTATTTTTTAAGGAAAATACATTTTAAGTAAATATTAATGTGTAAGTCTGCAGGGTACCATCTAGCTTTTCTGTATTTAATATATCATAACATCTAACTCTTGATGTTGGGTGGCTCCAGGTGCCACACGAATGGAGTTTGGAAACCACTGAGCTCCCGTTTAGTATGCTGCGGGTTAGAAATCATTTAACACAAGAGCTCAGGTCAGGAACTTGTGACTAGGGTTAAATTTTAAACAGTGCTGCACCGATCTTTGATGCTGATGATGGTCAGTTGGTTCATTTTGAAGTTCACTGCAGCAACGGTGCAATGCTGAGCCTGCAGCTTTTTTTTAAGTTATTCTTTAAGATTAGAAAAAAGCATTATATTACATCTTCTAAATGCCTTTACTTTACATACTCTGGTTTCTTTTTTGAAACGCATTAAATGTAATGGTAGGATTACCATGTGGCTGCAGATTGCTTCCAGGATCAGGAAATTAGTGCAGTCAGTAGGATTTACTATAACAGAAATATGCCTTTTGGTGTTGACGAGTATCAAATCATAAGCTGTGTGTGTGTGTGTGTGTGTGTGTGTGTGTGTGTGTGTGTGTGTGTGTGTGTGTGTGTGTGTGTGTGTGTGTGAGCAAGCATGCACATACGTACTGTATATCTCTGATTCTCTCTCTCAGGCCTCCCACTCATTAGACACTGTGTGGGTGTGGATCCTGCAGGCTGCCTGTCTCCTTGCGCCTGCTATTAGTCACATATTCTGCACATTAAACTCTCTCATTGCACTAAGCCTACATGCACACACATTAAAATACAAACGCACACACATTATAGCAAGTTAGTTTCATGTGTCTCTCTGCAGTGCACACGCATGGTGATGTGTTTTCCTTTTAGTGATGGAAAAATAGCCTGACAACAGCCCACCAGTCTTCTATGATTCAGTTTCATCCTATACATAAGTGTTCCATTTCTCTTATGTATTATTATCATTTTCTTTCTCCTCTGCAGAACATTTTTATCTTCACTTTCAAAACCTGTCATCTTTTTTCGTTTCCTCCTCTCCTCTCCTTTCCTCTCCTCTGTCAGTGTTTGATGTGTTTTTTGTCTGCCAGGTTGTTCTGCTGTGGCTGCCCCTGTCTCTCATCATGTTTAAAGAAGCAAAACGAAACGTTTTTGTCTCCTCCACCTGCATTCACTCACCCATCCCTCTCCTTCCACCTCTGTCTGCATCAATCTCTCTTGCCTTCTCCTTTCTCCCTCCCACCTGTTACATGACCTCTCTTCCTCCTCCTAACCTGCCCTGTTCTCATCTTTCATTTTGTCTTTTCTCTGTCACTCATTTGGCATCCCTCTTTCTTCTCCTCCACTCCTTCTCTATCATTTCTCCACCTTCACCCCTCTCTATACATTCCTACGGTCCATCCATCTCCATCCATCCTTTCACTCCCCTCTCCACTCCCACCGTCCCTCCTCTCTCTGTTTTGTCTTCACAGTCACTGTATCCATCAGATTCTAGAAAGTGTCCATCACATTCACCAACATGACATAGTGCACAGGGACCTGAAGGTTAGTAAAAGTAGAGAAGCATCTGCATCCCTCACCCTCCTAACGTCCCCTTCCCCCCATCCTTTTGCTTGCTTCCTTCGTTTCTTTTCTCCTTCCTTCCTCCTCAATCTCGTCAGTTCGTGGTGTCGTTCCTGTCAGTTACTGGTCTGATGTCCGCCTGTCCGACTTGTCTCTTGGTATGCTGTTTACGTTTTGCTGTCTTATTGTGTCGTGTTTTAAATTTTAATTGGAGGACCCTGGCCTACCTCACTCACCCTCCCTGATCCATCAGCCCTCCCCTTTCTTTTCAACCTTTTTTTTTCTTTTTACAGCGCCCACATAACAAAAGCTCCTGTTGCACTGACTGACAGCCAGATGTATTAATGAATGCACTTCAACAAATGTACACACAGTCACCTGCAGCAAGCACACAACTTTCTGCAGGTGCAATAAATATCCAGGCCATGAAACCATCAATTTCTCCCACCAGGCTCGTTAGGAAAAATCTACAGCTATATTTACTGTGTTCTTCATTGATTTTTTTTCTTTTTCTTCCTTCTTTATCTTCTCTTCCTTTAAAATGCCGACTTCTCTTGTATTGATCCCTGAATTTTCCTGAATGATCCCTCATTTAACCCCTTTATAGAGGTGTTACGGGATCTTAGGCTCGAAGACACACAGCAAAATAGGAGCCGAGATTATAAAGCAAAGAATATTTTCCTTAATATTTTTGATTTTCTTATTATATATTCAATCTGTCTCTTTCTAACGTCACCGTAGTCAGACTCAAAGTAGCTCTAATATAATAAAATTAAACCTTAGGATGCTGCTATAATATTACTCATATGATAATATTAAAACATCAGAGATATCACAAATTAAACCCACTTAAGCAAACTCATTTTAAACACAATTTCATTCTGATATGAAGTCTTAAAGGTGATTTCATAAACAAGTGTAGTGCCTTAAAAAAAGCTTTTATTCTAGACCTTCAGCCGTACAGTACGATGCAGGCGTTATTATTATTAATATTACCGCTCATTCAATCTCAGGTAATAGATATCAGTGCAGTATACTATGATATTTAGTCTAACAAGACATACATCGCTGTAGAATGAAACACTGAATTCATTGTATTTTAAAATGAGGATTTATGGTTATGCATCCGTGTCCATTTGCATAGTTCTCAGGCTATGCTGAGAGAAGGATTATGGGAATTCAAGAGTGTAAAGGCTCTGGAGACAGACTTGTATGGTCCTTCAGTAAGCCAACAGTGTGCCAAAGGTGTGCAATTCACTGCGTGGGTTGAATGGTGATTATTTGAAAATCTAAAGGAGGAATACTGAAGAGCTGACAAAGGCACGGTATGAACAAGAATAGTCCCATTACACTGCCTCTAAGTGGCTGTGAAAAATCTACAACTTGTAGATGTTGATCTATGAATCTCTGCAGGAAAGACCAACAATCAGTGCAACAGTGCAGTGAGATCTCCACACGGTTGAGTCTACCTGTGGATATAAAAACAAAAAGGAAGAAAAGATGTTGTTTTCTTTGCTCTTTCCCTTGGACACCTGTTAGAGTCGCTGTCAAACATTGCCTTTTTGGGGAGAGTTAGAGATTAGACTTTAAAAATGTAAACACTGCAACATTGAATGTTGGTGTTAAATGATAATATGTTAAGGAATTTATTAGCATTACTGATGTTAAAGTAGTAGGGGCAATGGCAATGTGTATTGCTGCCTATAGACTGGAGCATTTAGGGTATCTGATTGCTGTTTTGAGCTCATGTTTCTCAGGTTTAGACAACAGAAGGCATTCTTCTGTAGACTGCACCTTTAACTCAAGGCACAGAAGCAAAAATAATTCTGACCAGCTTATAATTTATCAAACGCCTGCTTGAAAATGTACAATTTAAACCACAAGTGAAACATTGTTTTTGTTGTCACGTACTGTCATAGTAATGTTTTCTATCTAGAACCACAACACAAAAAAACAAGCACAAATTATTCCTGTCCTGTGGTGCATCTGCTGCTGTGATCTGTCGACCTAATTATTCACTTCCTCTTTGAAGAATATTGTAAATTGGACTAACTTGTTAGTTTGCAGCAGAACTACAAGCAAATGTGGCTTGTTAGAGCAGATTGTATTGCTTATCCACAAAGTGTACAGAAAGCCATATGTGTTGTCTTACAGTTAAACAAAGTTTGGCTGTGTTTGTTTCTGAATCCAGGATAATACTATATGCAAAAACTCCAACTTTATATTGATGTTAAATACAAATGCATACACATATATTCTGTTTGATGCACAAGGATGGCTTTTAATGGACATAAAGGGTGAAAGAAGACCTGTTCTCAATTCCAAGTTGTAACATACTAACACTTGCTCAGGACCTGTAGGTATCATATAGCATGCTGGTTACTCGCGTACAGTCATTTTACAAAGTGCAGGGCAGTGCTATTGAGCCAGTAGTCTGTAGTGCTCTGCTTCTGTTGTCACTGCGAGTAACATAAAAACAAAAGAAATGCAAATGGGAGAAGTTTGCTTTAAAACACGTACTTAACACTATGAAAGGGTGTATTTTTACCCAGTAAAATACCCAATAAACACTTGTGATTTGTACCATCTGGCACACCACCTACCTCTCAAAGCGAACTTTTGTAGTTTTCATTGTTGCTTCACTCTAAAAATGACGCTAAAGGGGTTTCCCTTGTAGTAGGAGTCTGTATATGATGTTTCAATGACCTGAAATAAATGCTGCAGAATGCCTGCAAAAATTGGGCATGACTTGCATGACATGACCACTCCTAACAATACCCAATTTTTGCTTACTGGACGCTCAAACACATACGGACAAGTAAGAGAGCTCAACAGCTGACAAAAGTGTTGGAGGAAGCTTGAAATGTGCATATGCACACAGTCTCTCATTTTGAATTGCTTACATACCAACATATTTATCCATGAACATGAATACAAAAGAGCACAGACACATTTCATGGAGAGAAGTTGTTTTAGCCTTGACCGCACGTTTACAGCCACATGCTGGTGTGACCTGCCTAGTATTTATTCACTGGGAGACCTTTAGAAACAAGACACAGGATTCTAATTTATAGCCCTGAACTTTACAGTCTTGCCAGTCCATCGCTCTCTCTTTCTCTCTCTGTTTCTGTCTCTCCCTGTCTCTTATTTCTCTCATGTTATAATATTTCACAGACTGGCCCGACTCGTGCTTTATTGCACTCTATGGCTGTAATTCAGCCTTCGAGGTTTAACATGACTGCAGTATCAAAACATCTCCCTCATTACAGCTCAGTTTCTGATAGTTGAAATCTTCAGCTGCTGCTATACTGATTTTTTTTTTTTCTTTCATTGTTTATTTGCAAGAACATACTGAAAATTTAATTTGCCTACCTGTGCAAGTTCGCTTTCACAATGTTGCACTGTTTACAGCATCTGGGATTGAATAAAACATCAGATAGCATTTTAAAAAATACTTGACTTGGTTCCGACTTCTCTTACACATATCCGGTTTCCAGGATTTTAACCGTATAAATAATGGAGACTTAAAGGCTGCACGCAAGAAATAATCCATCCGGCTGTGGTTACTAAAGGAGTTTGTGTAACGGAAAATCCCACAAACACGATAATGATGATGCTTGTGGTCTTCAGTTCAGTTTTGTTGTTTTTTTTTAATGCAACTAACTTCAAAATAAATGCCATCTGTAAGCTATTTTTTAAATGTTTGGTACATCTCGCACCAGTCAAAATTAATTCTTGAGGATGACCTTGAGAGTAGTGGAGAGAAAAATCCAGGATGTGTGACAAATTATTTGTTGATTAACTGCTAAGCCATTAGAACATACTGTCCTCAAACTAATGAAATAAAAAATGTTTAGAAAGAAAAATGAGGCCAGCTAATTTCTGTCTGACTTTTCAACAAACATCATTTCTTAACCCTTGGCAAGTAAATTCCCTTTATGAAGCTTTGAGCTTCTCTGTGCTGAGAAATTAATAATTCATGCTTTTTCCAACTTTTGAATGCTTTGAAATATAGGAAAGGTATTTTCTTCTCATAATGTATTTATTACTCTGTATTATCGACAAGGATCAAGTGTTGTTGTTTTTTTCCAAAGAAAGGAAGTCAATTTCAACCTCCAAACGGCCGCCCAAGGGGAAAAAAAAGGTGCAAAAGCATTTTCATAGTCACTTTAACGATGCCACAGAAAATATGCTTTAGTTTCATTTCCCAAGTATTAGTGGTGAGAACAAGTGAGCCCAACTTTTCAATATTTCCACTGCCTTCACACTGAAAACAAGGTTGGTTTCAAATGTAAGCAGCTGCTTAGTAGGACGTGACACAGGTGAGGTGGTGAAATATAACTCGGGGTTAAATGAATCAGTGACGTTGAAATGCCATACTGCTTTGGAAAGATATCTCTGTCTTACTTGTTTTTCTTTTTTCTCATTTTGCAAGAACTGTCAGACAATAGAAATTAAACTTTCTTATTAGAAAATAATCCCCCCCGCTAGTTTTAATGCTTTTCAATAATGACTCAATTTTTTCATTTTGAATGAGAAATCAGGGTTGTTAGTAGAGACAAAAGCCCTTTCCCTTTGCACCCTCAAATACTGGTAACTGAATCTAGTAGATGTTGCATTACATTTCTAATAATACCATTTTTATAATAGTAAACCTGGAATTTTGTTTCTCTCCTCAAAAGAATTTCTGTTTAAAAATAAATAAACAAATGAAAGGTGAAAAAACGTTGTCAGTGCACAGGAAGCATATATGCACGGTCACAGCAAAACATTTCCAACAGTACATTTGTGAGTGTGTATTACTGCGGCTCTGCATTAATTCACACCTCACCCTGCTGAGGAATATCATCTAATTTCTGCATACACTCACACCTCGATCGCCCCTCAGCGTCCCTTGTACAGTTTTTGGCTTTATTTTTAGTGTCTGGAGGCTTGCTGACATCAGAATGACTACTCTTGTCACCATAGGCCAGCTAGACTGGCAGTAGACATGGCATTGATCCCAGACACATCTTGTTATTAATTGCACAATGACTCACTCCTTCCCTTACCTCCTTCATCAACGCTTTCTGTAGCCCCCCTTGGCCAGCCATTTCCTCACACCCCTCTTTCATCACTCAAAGCCTGCTGGCTAGTTCATGGAGGGAGGTGGGGTATTGAGAATCCGCCCTTAGCCAACAGTAAATGTGTTTCTTAGATTGGGTTGTCATCTACCAAGAATAGACCACCTAAGACAAAGATCATAGGCTGTATCCATTGGTCATTTGCAGATTAAACTGACTCAAAGGAGTCTTCTGTTGCATACCTCTGACCTTGCAGTCCACAGAGTCAAACTCATGGCTACAGCCAGCCCCCAAAAACTTCACTAATGAAGGTCAATGATGACGTCTGATATGCTGGAAGGTGTTTGTTTCACAGCCACAGTCGCCACCTAAAACTAAGGTCACCTTTTAAGTGAGAAGCTCACCAGAGATGAGCAAGCCTGAGCAATCCATTTTTTTAGTCTTGCAGTCTAAGAAATTAATGTTATAGTAGGTATTATGCCGGGTTCAGCCTATATGATATCAGCCTAGTTATGGCCACAGCACAGGGGCGTCAGTTTGGGTAAAGCGTGAAAAGGGTTGATTATTCAGCAAGACCTGACTGATAGTCAGTCAGTCAGTCAGTCAGTTTGTCTTGTGTAGTGTGTCATAATGGACAAAAAACATTCTTGCATCTGGACACTAGGTTGGTATATGTGTTATGATTGGACATGATGTGATCATGTGACCAGAAACATGTAATTTAAGAAGCTGTTATTGTCTGATGAAGAGCAGGAGTGGTAGATATCATCAGACATTAAAAAAGACTAAATTGGAGTCTTGCAGCATGCATGCTGTTTTTATGGACACTTCATGATGTCCACTTTTAACTTCTGTGATGTTGACCAAAAGTAGCACAGAGAGGTCCACCAGCCATTAAACCATTTATTTATTTTTTCCCAGCTGTGTGTACACCTGCAAACATCACAAAATGAAAGAGGAAGTGGAATAATGCCAGCTGGCCACTATCACATACACTGTGGCAGTGGTTGCCATTGTCGGTTTACATTCTTTACTTGGAAATAGCCAGCTCCTCCTTCCTGATGACATCATGCGCAATTTGTAAGAGAGCCAGCATGATCGATAGTGGAGCAGTCTACGGTGTCTCTCGGTCAAACAGATGCAAGACTTTATGACTCTATAATCACCTCGAGCAATCACAAATATTGTGTAGTCTGAGCTCGGCATCACATTTGGATCCAGTGGAAATTTGCAAAACTGAACCCTGATTGGCCAGTAAAAGGTCAAAGCAACAGAAGAGCCCTTGCTACCTCTTTTCTAACCCTCTTACCTTCCATAACACCCCCACTCCTCACCTCACACCCTACTCCCTTGGCCTGTGCACGCGAGTGAAGCGCTGCTGAGACTAACATGAGCCCCCTCCTTGGTGTTTGCATGCAGTCATTGCATCCAGCAGATCCTGGAGGCGGTGCTTCACTGCCATCAAATGGGCGTGGTGCACCGGGACCTGAAGGTGAGTAATTAGGATCACCTTGCTGTCCCTTGAGAGTTATATATTCGTGTCGGGGGGGTTGTGGGTGTGTTATTTGTCTGGTCTGGTTTGTCTGATTTGTTATTGACAGACTGTCTGTATTATTTGTTGATGTAATGTCGCTCGCAAAGCCTCCTGCCTTCTAACTGTAAAACATATAGTATTTACTCAGATTTAGGTAAAAGCTTTTGCACCCAGTCAGCGCTCTAACAGCCCCTTTAGGCTTTGTGGTGATGACTGAGGGACTGTTAAATGCTTTTTCCAGCTTTTGTCTGGCTCTCTTCTGTCGTACGCAGCCTCCAGCTCTCTGCAGTCACCTTCTTGTTGTATAAACATGACTTTCTCTGGTGTAAGAGGATTTTAGACATGCACGCAGGTCACTCCACCTGACCTGCGCCTTCTCTCTGTAACCTTTTTGGAGCAGGAATTTGTCATTTACACAGCTGTCCCATTTTTATCGATGGATCCATCTAAGTTCTACCAAGAGGATACTTAATCTGATCTCTGGTTCATTTACCAGATAGAGATGGATGTGAACTATTGATTATCAGGCACCCTGTGAGGTTTAGATTGACTTAAACGTGACAGCTCATTTTTTGTAAAGGCCCGTTAATTAACTTGTAGTGTTCTGAAGTTTGCCTGTGTTAGCTGACTGCCAGCTAGTTCAGTCCATTTTAGAGCTGGAAACAGTTAATGCATTTTCACATTGTTCTCACTGCTCTCAGGGATTTTTTTTCTTTTCTCAAGATGCCTTTTAGTTTTCCAAAGCAACACCTTAAATATAAACCATGTGTGAATAAGCATCAGAATAGAAACAAGTCTTTTACCTGTTTGTGTTTTGCATTTGCATGACTTTATGTTGCATCTTGTTTTACGTGATGCACCTCTGCTGTCCAGTAGACCTTTATGCAAATGTCAGGCATTCCAGTAAAGGCGTGTTGTGTTTATCAGAACTGTTGTGGCTCATGTCTTTATTTAGCTGACACACCTATCTGGTTTCACACCCGAGCGTTGGAGAGTGTTTCATGCAGTAGGTCATAGTGTGATGGCTGAGGACAGTCTGAGTCACAAGAACCCTCAAATTGGGAAAATGGGATACAGAAAATGTCGGCAACACACTGTGCACTTTCACGTGTGTGCCCCAAAAACCCATATCTATGTACAGACTGTAAAGCAGATGCTATATAGTGTTTTTGACATCTCAGAAATTAAATGTGTACTGATCCCAAGGCTATATGTCTATGTTGCTGGAAACCTCAGCAACAAAAGTAATGAAGGTAACAGGTCTTATAAGATGCATTAATTAAACTGTATCAAACTTAATTACTTGGGTATATAAGACATAACCTTGTTATTTTACTCTTGGATGACTGTTTTTTATGCTGCTAGTTTTTAAACCATCTATAAGATAAGGGTTTGCGTGTCTAGTGCAAAAAAAATCTGTATATATTAATCTCTTTAAGCATTTATGTCACTGTAAAATGAAATAGGAGCAATTTTCCTTCCACACCAGAGCAACATATTTGAAATGGTGTGCTTTCTTATTAGAGGTCTACATCCGTGCTGCTTTATCTAATGGCAGGAATGCCACAGCATCTCCAGATTCTCTACAGGCAAAGAAATAAAAGGGAGAAGAGAAAGCCTGGAATCATACCATTTAAAACACCCACTCATGACCTGCTCTTCAATACAGATTTTTCTGTCAGCTGTATTCTGTCCTTTTCTGCCCTCCTCAACCAAACCAGTTGCTAGTCATCTGTGTGCTGAGCTGTGTGTAGATGTCCAAGTGTATGTGTGCGCTGAAGAGATGGAAAAGGAAGCTGTGCCTCTGCCAAATGCTGATGGTGATTGCTGCTGTTATGTCTGAACGTTTGGCCTGCTTGTTTTGCATCACATTTATGCACCTTTTTGATGGAAGCGAATGCTTCATCGTGAATTCCGCCCACATCCATTTTCACGGATTATCTTAGTGCTGCAGTGTTGGCAAGTTCTAACTCCCCATTTACAAAAGAGTAAAGCCTAACGAAGTGGTAGAGCCGGGAGAATGTGATGACACAAGGTAGGCTCAGAGCCTTCGGATTACTGCTTCACTCACTCAGTCGCTCTCTTTTACTTATGGCCTCAAAGACTGTGAAAGAACACTTTCAACAATCTGTGCTTCAAATACACAGTATGCCTCTAAACATATTAGGAGAGGGAACAGATAGAGGAAGGCAGAGGATGCGAAAACGCATGCTGCTGCATTGCAGGGGAGTCAGTGACAGAAATGCAGTCTAAATATATTGTCCTCATTCTCATAAAGTTTAGATTAGTGTTGCTGTCTACTATTTAAGGAAACAACTACAGCGACTAATTGGACGAGCAGAGTAACTTAACGGGTGGAGTTAAACGAACAGAGGGAAGGACTTAACTGTTTCTGTCTCAGATTCAGTGTTCAGGTTGGTGCGCAAAGCCTAGTATTATCAAGCCTCTGGTTATCGGCTGAAATAACACAGTATGTCTATGGACGTCAATGGAAAAGTTACTGTATTTCCCACCAGAGTGCTTTATTTGACATTCAAGATTGTCAGTTGCTTTTACGTAGGCACTGATTAAGTGAGATTGAAAGAGATGTAGTGAGTGAAAGTGAAAAAGAACAGGGACCAGTGGGGATTGCAGCCCATTATTAGAGCCCTCCTCTGACAGAGAATAATGAGGCTGACTGTATTATCTGGGCCACAGAGATGGAGACTACAGGGCCACAGCTCATCACATGAGCCTGGGACTAAAAAACACTGAAAACCAACAGAGTCGCTACAGAAATTCGGACTAACCTTTATTGTATAATTTCCATGCATGTTGTTGAAATAACATCTGTTTCTGTGTGTGTGTGCGTGTGTGTGTGTGGGCGTGCATGCACTGGAAAAAAGTGAGAAACTGTCCAAACTTTTGCATGCATGCCTAGCTATGTGCCTGCAACTCTTTCTCCCTACTAGGACAGTTTATTTGTTTTGTACCCAATCCTCCATTTCAAAATCTTAATGCCAGTGTTTTTGTTTTTTTTGTCCTCTTTCCCTCTTCAGCCAGAGAACCTGCTCCTGGCAAGCAAGTGTAAGAATGCTGCAGTGAAACTGGCCGACTTTGGCCTCGCCATTGAGGTGCAGGGGGATCAGCAGGCCTGGTTCGGTGGGTACAGTCACATCTGCATTTTAACCCATAAGCTATTGATGGGCTCACAGTGACCGCAGTGATAGAAACGTAGACTGGTAATGAAAGATAAATTTAGCTTCCAGTTCTGAAAAAGCCACTGAACAGAGGCATTTGCACGAGTCAGTCTGGCAATATCAAGATTAGTAGTGCTGATACACCCGTACTGATCAGTGAGTGTGTCTGTGGCATTTCTCAAGGAAGAGATTAGCCAGTGCTTCACAATCAACTCATCTTAAATCCTTAAGATTTCAGTCTTGTTTGGACCAATAGGTCATATCTTACTGAAGATTATGTTGCTTCCTATATAAGCTGATCCACAGATAGCACCAACACAGTCTATTGCCTTGAGCATGTCAATCAATTGTTTGGGGTTTTTTTTTTCTGCAGGATTTGCTGGCACACCGGGGTATCTGTCCCCTGAGGTTTTGAGGAAGGAGGCATATGGCAAACCTGTGGACATCTGGGCCTGTGGTGAGTTGTTCAGAGAAATATACACAAGGCACATATGGTATTTCCTAGATGATAAAAACTGAGAAACAAACTGTCTGAAATCCAGTTTCTAGCAAAATGTGCATTTTGTGTGTTTGTGTGTGTGTCTGTGTACTTGTTTGTCCATGTGTTTTTGTGTGTGTCTCAGGGGTGATCCTCTACATCCTGCTGGTGGGCTACCCTCCTTTCTGGGACGAGGACCAGCACAAGCTGTACCAGCAGATCAAGGCTGGGGCTTATGATGTGAGTCTCCTCTCCCGCTCTCTCATTTCTCCCTTCCTGCTGTAATGCCCTCCCCTCCCCTCCCACTGCCCTCTTTCCTTTTTGGCTGCTATTACATAACTCAGTCACCTCATTCATATTTCAGGGGGTGCAAGGGAATGAGCCTCACCTTAGAACACATGGCATGGAGATCAGATTGAGCTCCATGTCAGACAGAGATAGTGAGAGAGAGAGAGAGAGTCTTCCTGAGTCTGGCAGTGATTCTGGGCTCATAGGACACAGTGTTTATGCCTAAACACAACGGGACCTGATGGGTTGAGAATTTCTTAACAAATTGCTTGGGGCTGTGTTGGACTGGCCTTTTGGTATCGTTAAACAACACATCCGCAGGGAGCCTGAGTGGCTGTAATGTTGGATGGACATCTACTGGCAACATCCTGAGGTCATGTGTGGTCAGGGAGCTGGGTTGTTTGTTAGTCCCTCTGTGTTTCTCTGCTCTGCAGATTTCCAACAAAGACATGTAAGCTATAAGTAAAGCTGCTATTTTAACACATCAGGGTGTGCAAGGAGGGTAAGCCACAGAAGTTTCATTGCTGAACAGTCTGGATGTTCACAGTGCTGTGTTGAAGCATTTTAGTGGAAGGTTGACTGGAACAGAAAAGTTTGGATAGGAAAAGGTGCACAAGGATGACCGTAGCCTTGAGGATTTTCACGTAAAGTCAATTCAACAACTTGGGAGAACTTCACAAAGAGGCTGATGATAGTGCCTCACACACACGTCCTCGAAAAAAGAGCTACAGCGGTCACATTTCTTATATCAAGTCTCTTCTGAACCAGAAGTATCTTACCTGGGTTAAAGAGAAGAAAACCGGGCTGTTGCTCAGTCATCTAAAATCTTCCATCTGCTGACAAGCTTCATGGAGATGCTGGTTTTCTTATTCAGCAGGATCTGGCACCCCCCCGCAGTCCCAAAAGTATTAACATGACCATGTTGTTACTGTGTTCAACTGGCCAGCCAACTGGTCTGACCAGAACCCCACAGAGAATCTCTGAACATGAGGGGAAGGCTGCGATCAAAGCAGCCTTAGTAGTGCCACAGTCTGATTGCTTACATGCCTCGCCGCTTTTATTTATGGTAAAGGAGCTTGAACAAAGTTTTGAGTATATCAGTTAACTAATTAAATTGGACATTTTTGATTTTTTTTTTATCTTAATGAAATTTTTACTGTGCTTTATTTTTTTTATATTTTTATTTATTTACTTTTACTTATTTGTTTGTTTTACTGGTTTTCTGTTATTCATGACCTATAAACTGTAACCATCAGAATGGAAACAAAGAAGGGTTGAAATATTTCACTTTTTTATTGAGTGTCGTATTTATGGAAATGAGGTTTTTTTTTATTTAATAATGAAGAAACTGCACTTTTTCAGTATATTCAAATTTTTGAGCTACACATCTAAGCAGTACAGCAAACACACGTTCACTCTGTCAAAC